ATCATGCCTCATTCCTCTTCACTCCTAGATTTTCCAACCACTAATCCCATACCTTCATCGACTCCCGACCCCGCTACTAATTCATTCGCCCCATCACACAACTAACCCATACCCTCACAACCTAATGACGCCCTCATCTCTACAACACCAACATCACCGCTCACCCTCCCTAATCCCCAACCCCCACTTCGTCAATCTAATCGAACCACATGACCTCCCACTCACTTTAAACAATATCAAGCATACCATGCCTCTATGCTTGCTTCTGGCAATATCTCCGCTGCCACGTTCGGTACGCGGTACTTCTTCCATCGGTATGTCTCTTACTCTAATTTGTCTTCTGCTCATCAACACTTTGTACACAATATTTCCCATTTGGTGGAACCAATGTCTTATGAGCAGGCCAATCAAGACCCGCAGTGGGTTGAAGCTATACATGCTGAAATTCATGCTCTTGAAGCCAACAACACTTGGACCATGGTTTCTCTTCCTCCTGGCTATCACCCGATTGGCTGTAAATGGATATTCAAAATTAAATATCAAGCTGATAGATCTGTTGAAAGGTACAAAGCCCGCCTCGTCACTAAATGATTCACTCAATGCGAATGCATTAATTATAAAGAAATTTTTACCCCCGTAGCCAAACTCATCACCGTCCGTTGTCTCTTGACGGTTGCTACAGTTCGCCATTGGAGCCTTCACCAAATGGACGTCCAGAACGCCATTCTTCATGGGGATCTCCATGAGGAGGTCTACATGCTTCCTCCACTTGGTTATCGTCGACAGGGGGAGTGAGTTATTTGTCGACTCAACAAGTCCTTGTATGGACTGAAACAAGCCTCAAGAAGTTGGTTTCACAAGTTTTCATCTGCAATCCAAAACATTGGCTTTCAACAATCACGGGCAGACTATTCATTATTCACTCAGGTCCGTGAAAATTCATTTACAGTGATACTATTATACGTTGATGATATGATCATCACAGGGAACAATGAAGAGGCAATCAGTGACCTTAAAAAATTTCTCAATAATTGTTTTCGGATTAAAGACCTTGGCTCATTGAAATACTTCCTTAGGGTTGAAGTTGCACGATCGATGGCATGGATTTCAATAGGCTAACGAAAATATACATTGGATATATTGGAAGATAATGGTTTACTTGGTGTGAAGCCTGCCAAATTTCCAATGGATCCAGAACTAAAGTTGAATCGAAACAATGATGACCTTCTCAATGACCTAACTTGTTATTGCAGGTTGGTTGGGAAATTGATTTACCTTACTATCACAAGACCGGAAATCACGTATTTGGTTAATACCCTTAGTCAATTCATGCAACAACCCAGAAAGCCTCATCTCGATGTTGTCCACAAGTTACTTCAATACTTAAAGGCAGCTCCGAGTCAAGGATTTCTCTTTCCATCATATGGCCAATTAAATTTGGTCGGTTATTGTGATGTAGATTGGGCTCGTTGTCCAACTACACGACTATCTGTCACAGGTTACTGTGTATTCCTTGGACAAGCACTTGTATCATGGAAAAGCAAGAAGCAGGCAATTGTTTCTAGGTTCTCAGCTGAAGCGGAGTACCGATCCATGGCAGCTACTACATGTGAACTCACTTGGCTAAGGTATTTGTTACATGATTCGAGGGTTAATCATCATGAACCTGCAAACCTATTCTGTGATAACCAAGCGGCCTTGTACATTGCTGCAAATCCAGTATATCATGAACAAACCAAACACATTGAGTTGGATTGTCATACAGTACGTGAAAGAATTCAAAATGGAGAGATCAAAACTGCATATGTGCAAACCGGAGAACAAATTGCCGACATATTCACGAAGCCAACAAGGGAAGCTGTCTTTCGAACGCATCTTCACAAGTTAGGCGTTATTGACATTTACACTCCAACTTGAGGGGGGTTGTTAAAGGAAAGAAAATAAGTCAACTATTCATTTAGGGTAATTATAGGATCGTAATGTAATTGGCAAACAATCAAGATGTATTTACCTAGAGTAGCCTTCCCTTTACTGTATAAAGCCATGAATCATTGTATGATTCAAGATCAAGTCAATTATGCAAGAAATTATTCATCTGCAAACTCCATTTCCCTTCCAGTTTTCACACTCTCAAACAACCCTAATCCCCAATTTGTAGAAAATTCCTACTTCTAATTTAATTTTTATTTTTAGTTTTAACATTTGAATGTCAATTCGATCTGGCTTCCTACTACCACCACCATCATCTAGACATTTACTCATCTAATTTGATGAACAAGATATAATTTTGTTCAAGTTCAACTATTTGGAGTAGGTTTTTGGCGGCTCTCTATTTTCGGTGAATGTGGATGTGAATTTATCTTGATCTCGAGGTGTAGGATTATGGGGGGGAAGCACAACGCTAGCGTGTTGGTTCAGGTGAGAAGAGAGGTCAACCGTGCAGAAAATTATTTTCTTTTTAAGTTATTTATTTTATAATTTTATTTTTTATCTACATGGAAAAATTAGCTACCATATCATCAAAAATATGGATTTTGCATTTGCCGCATCATCGTTTAATGGCCAATTTGACGAATTGACTATTGGAGGTCTAACATTGCAACAGATTCGTAAGTTGATGTATGACATTGTAATATTTATAAAATGAAATATGAGTTTGTTATATGACTTAAAGTTGAGGTGGTAAGATGTAATTTACCATTTTTTTTTAATCTATGTGGACAAATTTGACTTTCACATGAGTAAAAATATAGGCCCCACATTTGTCATGTCATCATTTAAAGGTCAAATCGATAATTTGACTAACGGCTAAATAGCCAAAATGGTCCATGAGATTTGCATAACTCATCACTTTGGTCCCTAATATTTCAAATCAATCAAAGTGGTCCCTGAGATTGTCCACCATCTATCATTTTGGTCACTCCGTTAAAAACTCTGTTAAGCATCCTGGAACTCTTGGCCGAAAGTTTGGGCAATTTTCAAAATTTCGTAACTCAATCATTTCTTAACCAAATTTGACCCATAATATATCAAAATGAAGATAGGAAAGTGTAGACTACGATTATACATATTTGGAAGCCCAATAGTTGCTGGAGATGGCCGGAAGCTGTTTTCCAGCCAAACCACGGAGAGTTAGCTATCTAAAAATGAACCATTATCTTCATCTCGTCGAGAAGTATGATTTTTGTTTTTGAATCACTTGATTTCGTTAAGTATTGAAGAAGTTATGAACATTTAAAGTTTACCCAGTTTCCGACGAGTTTTCCAGTTTTTCCTCGGACCAGTCAACTTTGAGGCTATTTTCCTGCCATCTCTGGCAACCATTGGGCTCCAAATAGGTATAATCTTATTCTACACTTTCCTATCTTCATTTTGATATATTATGGGTCGAATTTGGTTAAGAAACGATTGAGTTACGAAGCTTTGAAAATTGCCCTAACTTCCAGCCAAAAGCTCCGGGACACTTAACGGAGTTTTTAACAGAATGACTAAAATGATGGATGGTGGACAATCTCAGGGACCACTTTTATTGATTTGAAATGTTAAGGACCAAAGTGATGAGTGATGCAAATCTCAGTGACCATTTTGGCTATTTAGCCTTTGACTAACATATGTATGAAAATAAATAATATGTAAGTATATGAGATTGAAATATTTTAAAGATGATGAATGAGTTACAATTGCACCCATACAGAAAGAGTTAAAAAGTAATTTACTCTAATTTCTTTGGGTATGTGGGTTATTCAATCCAATTTGTGGCACCAAAAGATTTTTTTTTTTTTTCCCTTCAAAGAATTATGCAAATATTGGACTTTTTGTGGGTTATATTCAGGAATGTATTTACTATTGGGCTACCAAGAATTGGGGGGTTTTTTTTTTTCAAGCTTATCAAGCAAAGATACAAAGTTGTATTCAAAAGCTCAATCCATTGTAAACTAATTAATTAATACAAATCATAGTTTAGTGCTTCATAATTTGGTGATTTGATTCGTGCCTGATCAAGTAATCAACCGCTGATTGGATCGACAAACATGTCTGCAGAAATCTTAGTGGCAAAGTTAAAGACAAGAAGAAACAACCAAGAAGATTTCCAAAAGAGAAGCTCCAAATTCAATTGACAATACCTCCCATAATTCATAGCTTTATAAAAAGGTTCTTTATATATTATAGGAGGCAAAGAATACTAATACCTTCAAGCCTCCACTAATTATCTGACCAAAACCTTGTACAGAAACTTATGTCGTGTCATTTTTTTCCTCTAATTATCTACTTTAAGTTGTTTATTTTTATTTCAGCTTCTTTTTATTTGAAAATAATATTATCTTAATACTTCTTTTAAAAAGTGGCATGCATACATGTCTACCAATGCGTGCGGCTTGGTTTTGGTCTCTTCTTTTTATTTTTATTTCTAGTTATATACTTATATTTATTTATTTGGATATAGCATAGGCCCCTTTCTTGTAGAATAGGATTTTCTACTTTAATTCTAGCAATAAAAAGAAAAGGAAAAGGAGTTCTTTTACTTCAAATACAAACTAAAATACAAGGTTTATGTTCTTTTAATACAAAGATACTGCATTAGAAATGATTCTCACGATTTGTTTCACACAATGTGAGCACATGCAAAAGAACTATTTTCATAAGCAATTTAATCAAGACTGTGCAATATCTTTTACCTAAAAAAACAAAAAAAGAAGAAGAAGAAGAAGGTAGTGAAATATTTAAAATAACTGTTGGTGGTAGAAACCTTTAAAGAATCAAATTATAGAAAATTATCTCTTACCTATATTAATGTCAGTTGCAACAGTTAAGTTTAAAAGTTTTTTTTCTTCAAAATAGTGTTATACGTGTTCTTTCACTACAAAATAGACGATTTAAGTGGCTTATTTATAAATATCCAATTAATAATAGGAAACATATATAAGGTAAATTGGCACTTGCAATATTGGAGGACACGAAACATTTCTTGGTGAAAAAAAACTATTTCGACCAACAAGAAAGAGAGTATTTATGAAAGCAAACCAAAGCACACGCTTTAACTTTTTTCAAGGAGTAATACTCCCACTTTGCCATTGTGCTTTGTGAAGGAGAGACACTAGAGGCTCCATACAAACTCATTTTTCGGAGGAGAAAATGCCATGTTCAGCTGAGGAAGCACTAGTTAGGCTCTTCTACAACACCTCCTCCTCCTTCCACCTCCTCCTCCTCTTCCTCTACCTCTCCTCCACTTTTCTTTTCAAACTCTTCTACTTTGTCGGCAGCAACCCTATTTTCCCAAGGTCTTAATTATATATCCTTATGTTTTAAGTTCTTAACTGCATGCTCACTTTTGTGTTTTACTTCTTTAATTTACTTAATCTTCACCCTTTTGTATGCATTTATTTGTTGGATTGCAGAAACCAGAATGGATACGAAGACTATGTGTTTTCGGACGAAGAAGAAGAGGAGGAGCAGGAGGAAGAAGAAGACAACGAACAAAGGCAGTTTCATGTTCCTGGTCACCAATACTGCAGTACCATAAATGATCATGATCTGGTGGCTGACATCATTCACGGCGGCGAATCACTGATGTTTTTGCCTAACAATAACCTTCAGCATCATCATCAAAAAAGTTTTTCCGAAGACCAATTCATTAGCGCACGGGAGAGCTTAATAATTGAAGACCGCCCCGATGAATCTTTGCATGAGTCATCACAAGGTTCAGAATCTGAACATGACGATCAAGGTGCGGAGGAAATCCCCGTGAAAGATACAGTTTCAGTTCTCAATTCTGTTGCGAAGGATCGAGTGTGGCCCACATCTCCGATAACTATAGAGCTACATAAAAGTGACAAAAATGGTGACGGTATGTCCCATTATTTCAAGCACTAAAGTTTGTTACACTTAGCTAGCTAGTCACATGATTTACTTCTAATACTTGTACTATTTGCAGCCTGACATTTGCTTATGTTATTTGATCATACAGGTAATTGTGATGAACATAATACTGAAATCAATAGGGCAGATCAGACGCATTTATCCAGTGACGAAAATTTTGTGGTTTTCGGGCCATCACAATTGAAGAACAAGAAGTTCCAAGTTCAAGACAATAAAGAGGATGAAATTTTTGAGGACTCAACTGTTGGATCAACTTCTAAGAGCTCTTCTGATTGGAGAAGCTCAATTAATTGCAGGGATTCTGCCACTGAAGATCCTTTTTCTTCCTCGTCCCGGCGAAGCTGCCCCAAATGGGAGTCTTACACAGTCTTCCAAAAGTATGATGAAGAAATGATGTTCCTAGACAGAATTAGTGCCCAAAAGCTCCATGAAACAGGTAATTTAATTTAATTTTTTTATTATCTAGCTATATTTTCTCCCTTTTTGTAATGATTTCTTTTATTAATATCTTAAGCTGACATTATATATGCTATATTTTTGTTTTCAGAATCACTTAAGTCTATTCAAGTCTGTCCAAGATCAATTTCGGAAAGGATTGTTCATAGAATCTCTACGGCAACAAAAAGGCTGCCTGATGTACGTCACAACCCTTATCATGAGCTGGAGGCTGCTTATGTTGCACAAATTTGCTTAACATGGGAAGCACTTAATTGGAACTACAAGAATTTTGAGCAAAAAAGGGCATCACGCCATGAGTTTGATCCCGGCGTTCCTGGCGAATTAGCACAGAAATTTCAGCAATTTCAAGTGCTTCTACAAAGATATGTAGAGAATGAGCCTTATGAGCAAGGCAGGAGGCCAGAGATTTATGCTAGGATGAGGCTTTTGGCACCAAAGTTACTTCAAGTGCCAGAATATCGAGGTACATCTGCAGAAGAATTGTACTTTAACTTCTTTTAATTCATACCCTTTTTCTTTAACAATTTGAATGTTACGTGATATGATTTTTTAAATTGTATCAAAGAATGCAAAAGGTCTAGGGATCAAACAAAGTTAATTAACTAATGCATGAATTTTATGTCATAAGTTTCAGAAGATGATGACCATCAAAAGGATGAAGGTTTTGGCTCAAAAATTTCGTCAGCTGCATTTTTAATGATAATGGAAGACGGAATCCGAACGTTCATGGATTTTCTCAAGACTGATAAGGAAAAACCCTGCCAGAAATTAGCATCCATGTTCAAACGAAAACGAAAAGGTTCAGTTGATCCCACTCTTCTCCATCTGATGAAGAAAGTTAATCAAAAAGTAAGTTCATATATATATGTGTGTGTGTTTGTGTTTCAATTGCTTAATTATGTTATGTTATCATTTATTTTTACTATACCAAATTATAGTCCATAACGGAAGTCCATCCTTTATTAAAGAATTGATTGTCGATATGTTATTAGTAATGTCAAGTCACTAATGTCACTGTTGTAACAAAGCGTACAAACATGTGGTTGATACATTCTTAGCAATATCAATGCGCGTCCGTTCTTTAAGTTAAAAAACATACGTCATGTATAAACATTTTCCGGATATATTCTTACCTCTCCCAATTTCATGAGCAGAAGAAGATGAAAATCAAAGATCTTCGACGTTCCCACAAATGCCTGAGAAAGCGAAGGTTGAAGGTGGAGGAAGAGATGGAGATACTGATGGGTCTGATTGACCTAAAACTGGTATCTAGGGTTTTGAGAATGACCGACCTAAATGCAGAACAATTGCATTGGTGCGAAGCAAAGATGAGCAAAGTGCGAATTCTGGATGGGAGAAAATACCAAAGAGATTCCTCCCCACTTTTCTTCCCAGCACAATGACCCACGTACCACTATTGTGTTGCTTTGATGACTAGACATTGTGACATGAATGTGCATGCATGACTGCACAGAGAATGAGTGAATATCCTACCCAGGTACCCTTTTGTAAAAACTACTATAATATATAATATTATATTACTGAGGTAGGACAAGAAGGTGACATGGATTTTGGAGATTTCGAATCCATGAAATAATGTTTAGAGACAGAGAGAGAGAGAGAGAGAGAACAAAGCAAGGAACATCAAGAGAGAGAGAGACAAGGGTTACTTTAGCTTTAGCTTTTTTTAAAAAAAAATTAGGGTTTATCTACAAGCTGGGATATGAGGCTTATGAGCTGAATCAAAAGAGGAGAAAACTAAAGAGGAAGAATAACAAGGCTGCTTCAAACACATGATGCAGATGCAGTGGAATAAAAAGGTATCACATGGTACACTCAAGGGATTAGGGTTATATCATTTATATGTGGTTAATTTAGGGTTTAGGACCCACTTAGGTGGGGAATGAAAAATGAAATAAAGTCTGATATATCACCATCTTTAAAGATTTCTGCATCTGGATTTCATGACTTTTTTAAAGGTGATGACCTATTGACTATTGTAGTTGGGAAATCATGGTCATTGGAAAGGAAATATATTAATTTTGTACTCAGTTATTGCATGGGAATTTGAAACTGTCACATAATTTCAAATGTCAAATGTCACATATCATTTGCTGAAAATTGTATAGCGCTTTGTAGATTTTAATTATTGTATACTTGACCGATAATTAACTATTCAAAATTCTATAGTATTTCAGAGTGTATAAGAAAATTTTGTCATTGAACCATCAAAACATTAATGTATTCCTTAATCAATTTACAATCCGAACTATTGGGGTTATTGGTTAGTCTTGTGCACTTGTCGTCAATTGTAACTGATACTTAATTGTAATTCATACGCAACAATAATATAATTGCAAATTTGTGCCAACAATCCTATCACTCTCCTTAATATATCATATAAAGAGAAATACTAAGGAGACTCTTTTAAAAGTGGGACTCTCCATGGGCTGCCAGCCCATATTTTTTGTTATAATGTTGGCAAGAAAATTGACGTTAAACTATGAAGTGACAGAGTTCCACTTTAAGAGAGTCATCTTAACGTTTCTCATCATATAAATATAATCAATAATTCTTTTGTTTGCTAACTAACAGTCTAATATATACTAGGGTTTGGGAATTCCAATCCCTCTATATGGCTCGTATCATTTACGAATATATTTCAGAAGATTGAAATAATAAAAATAACAACAAAAGGTTGAGAAACGACTTACTAGACAATTGGTTGCCATTGTTGTCCCTGGCCACACCATCTTCCTCTCAGTCTTCTGAAACACAGAAGTAAAACTTGCGCAGAAGATCAAAGTTCAAACGCAAGACCTATTACCCGTGGCCTATCAGGCCCTTAACCTAGTTTAGTGGGCCGGTCTTAAGCCTACCCAAGACATTGTACGGGCCTATCAGGCCCTTAAATAATTATGAAAATAATGACCAAATTATTATTTTTTTTATCAGAAAGTTATTATTTTTTTAATACAAGCTATTCATTTCACTAACTAGCCTCCTTCCACGCCTAGATTAAAAATTAAGTTTTATTTCTGCTTTAGATCTAATTATATATTTTAATTAAAAATTCAGAAACAAAGAAAGAATTATTAACCACCCACCAATTAAAGTGAGGCCATTGAAAGGATATTGAAAACTTTACCCTTTTTGCCATTTCACTTTATATATGTAGATATACATTAAGGAGAGCTCAGAGATTTGTATATTACTAGACTAATAGTTAGTTGCTCTAAGGAATAGGGGAAGTGAATCCCGCACAATCCTTTTATCACACGTAGTTGTACACTGTTGTATTATCCTGGTCATTCAATTGAAATATATGAAGCATTGATGATCAGAATAAACATCAACGTGCAGAAGAAGAAAAATATATATTGAAATTACTTCTCAATATAAATAGCAAGTTAGTGAGCACTTCACTATCTATTATCTTTTGAGTCGGGTGATAGCGTTAATAAGTTAGATGTTAAATTAGCTACCGATAAAGTTCAAATTCATATCGTCATGTAAGGGCACAACACATTTTCACTACTGTGGTAAAGGGTTACTTTTACACTATCTATTATCTAATAGTGCACAAAAGGAAACAAAATCGTTTTAAAATACGGTATAATCGGATATACACTATATGAGTGGTGAATGAACCGTATACACATATGATCGCCCCAATTACAATTGGTTGGTAATGGACCTAATGGTAGGGGCCATATATATATGTGTGTATTAATCTCCATGAATTCCATTGGATTGCAAATTTGGACTATGGCCACCAAAATTTAATACAAGTATATGATATACAACGACATTTTATACTGATAATTAAAATATTATTTTAAATTTGATATTCACCAAGAGTTGGCTTTAAAATTTCTCACTTATAAAAAAATATCATGATATTAATAAGTTCGTCATTCATCAAAGTTGATTGTACGACTAAACTTTTCCCTCAAATAGAACAACATACATAGGTCATTCATGAGAGTTGATTCTACAACTAAACCTTTCTTTAAAAAAAACAACATATATAGCACGAGTACACAATTACATAACATTCCGTAAAAATAAAACAATACCATATAAACAAAAGTTACATATATTTTATGTTATTAACACAGCACGCCACCGATAACAATATATCTGTGCCAAGTAAATGTAAATCTTTCTCCCAACATTGTTTACCAATGTGAGCATCCCAAGGCAGTGGCATGTGGAGGAATCGAACAGAAAAGGAAAGGGAATGGAGTTGTGGTTCCCACTTCCATTCTGTGTTTACAAACATGTCTGTCCTTTCCACCTTGGATTCGAATTATTGAAGCCTCCCTGCAATTAGCCTTTCTGCAACCCTTGCTCCACTGGAATTTAATTAACGTTCATCTGCCATGTTTTTTTCATCCCCTCTTTTTATCTTCAAAATTTGACATGCTTCTTTAATCTTTGGCTATAGTTTTTAAATATAAACTTTAACGAAAAGCTCATGATACTGTTTACTTTAACGAAAAATCATATTTTTATACTAAAAAGTCAATCTTGATACGTGTTTATACCATACCTAGGGCATTTGTATTTAGACCTCGTATAAATACTCGGATAACTCAAATGTAATTACGTAATAAAAGAATGGGCAAATATGTAATTAGTGGAGGAATCCTTATTCTATAAAAGGGCATCTTCACCCTCACAAACCTTAAGTCTCTCCTATCTAGAGAAAAGCTCTCACACTCTCTCCCTCACAAATACTCTCAGAGAAATACAATTAGTGTGGACGTAGTCCAAACCTTAAGGTGAACCACGATACATCTTGTGTTATTTACATTTTTTGCAAATTCACGGTCGGATTTACGTTGTTCCAAGACCTCTGGTTTTGTGCATCAACAATACTATTCACTCTACCATTTATTTTTTTATTATCGTTAAAACTCAAAATTTTCAAACCCTTTTCATTAGTTTTCTTATTTTAAATTCGGGTTTGGCAAAAGTACGAACATACTCATACCACGTTCGTTTAATTTGTGGCACGTTCATGACTCATCGAATTGCATTCGGCCTATTGGGCGTAGCAACACTTTAAGAAAAAAAAAGTGATTACGACATGTCATTGTTATAACATGTTTTATAAAATTTGAAACTTCTATGTATTTTGATATCACATGATTCTAAGTTGATCATATGTAAAAGATGATCTAATAAGACAACTTTATTGGAATTTCTTGCCTTTTTTAAAGATTCACTGCATCATCTAATTAGTTGTTCATACTCTGTGCCTTTGTACTATTAAAAAACTCATTTTCTTATATTAATTTATTAAGTTGTCAAATATTTAAGGAAATTTTTACAAAAATCACTCGGTATTATTCATTTTAACGAAAAACCACATTTTTACACTAAAAAATCAATTATGGTACTATTCACTTTACATTTTATTTTGTCATTTTCGTTAAAACTCAAAAATTTCAAGTCATTTTCATTGGTTTTTCTAATATTTAAATCTTTAAATCTAAATTAATATTAGACACATTAATTTTATGACTAATATGCATTTTAATCTTCACAGATCTTCAAAATAAAAACGGAAGCTCAAATCCTACGGAGACGTTTATCTTCTTATTTTGGTTGATTGTCCATGTCAACGTGTTCTTATCAAGTAAGAAAAAAATCTGCATGACTTCAAATTTAAGAATTAGATAAAGATTTGATTGTCCTTAATCCTAATCCTTCTCTTCGTTTACCAGAAAATTAAAAATTAAAATAGTTGGATTGTCATTGCGGAAAGAGATCCTCTTCGGATTTTTTCCACTAAGACCACTAGATCAAATGATTCGAGTCTTTAAAATTTCATCCAACGGTTCACTTATTTTGATCTATTAAAAACTATAATAATTTTTGTCATGTTAAATGAAATTTCAAATATTCGGATCACTTGATTCGATGACTTTAATGGTAAAAATCCGGAGAGAATGTCTTTCCGTGCATTGCACTTGCAAAGGCTCAAGGGTCATTGGTCAATTGGAAATTGGAATCAATCAACCGTACCATAAATAAATAAATAAATTTAGATATTTTCCTTTGTAGGCTCGTGCTAAAACGGGAGTATTGTTATTTATTTATTTTCTAGTATTATTGGCTGGAGATCCCGACCACGTGGACCAAATCGGGCTCCTCCAACACCAATCTCAAACCTCATCCAACGGTCCACAATCTAGATCATCCTCTGTTTCCTCTCTCTCTGTCCCCTGCTTCTTTGAATCATAAATACTCAGCCCCCACCCCTCCTCTCCCTCTCTCTCCTCTCCCTCTCAGACGCCCCGGAAAATCTCTGTTTTGCAGATCCTTTCTCTTCTTCCCCTCAAATCTCCTCCTCCCTGAGGGGCCTCCTGTGGCTGCAGCTCAAGGTTCTTAGTTCCTCCCTGTTTTTTTATTCCTGGGTTTTCTGCAACTTTCCTACCAACAGATCTGCAAATTATATGTAAATCATGAAGAACAAGTCTTAATTTCGCATCTTTTTATCCTTCTGGGGTTGTTTTATTTTTCATGCTTTGTTATATTTAACGTCTTTCACACATCTCTGTTTATTTCCGTCTCGTGATTCTCTTTTGATTTAATTCATTCAAAAAGGCCTGAAATTTTAATAAACAAGGTGTACGAAAATCACTCCCCCCGCCCCCCAACAAAAATTATATTTTATATGAAATCTTCATGCAAAAGTTTGTGTTTTTTAATTTTTGGGGTTGATTTGATGAAATGAAATCTGGGTGTGGGTGTGCAGGCTTGGTTGTTGGTGATATCACCCAACAGAAGAAGCAAAGATGATGAGCAGGTGCGGTTACGAGCAGAGCGCCACGGCAGGCTGCGAGGGGATGGATTCAGTTGTGTGCCCAAAACCACGTCGTTTCAGCCTTCTGAATCCTTCCTTCAACGACAACATCAGACCCTTCAGATACTTCAAGTACGTACCTTTTTTATCTTCTCACACTTCTATGTTCTTTTAAGGTTTTAATTCGTAGGTAAGAGTCAAAGGTTGTTATTTTTTGGGTGTTTGATTTTTGTTGCTGCTGCTGCAACAGTCACAACCAATCGGAGATTCGAGATTCTGAAGCTGGGTCTGAGATTCTGGATATTATTCTCGCCAAGGTTCCTCTCCTCCCCTTAAATTTATAGTAAAACGGATTTGAAAATTTTGGGTATTAACGAAAATGACTGAATAAATGAAAATGACTGAATAAATGGTAAAGGGAATAGTATCAGATCTTACTTTTTAATGTAAAAATGTGATTTTTCGTTAAAGTAGGACTGATAACTTTTCGTTAAATTCTTTAAACTTGTTGTGCTAATATTCGTGGGATGATTTTTTAGCTAATATTCAGAGAAAATGATTTCTGCACACCCCTTTTCGTCGATGCATCCACTTGAATCAAGGGACATAAATAAACCGTGGTTTGACGGTTTTGTAGAGGAAGGGGCAGGCCTAAATCATTTCATGTTTTCGTTTTATATTTTCTAATTTGGGGGTTTCAAATTTGTTTTTATTGGCATGAATTCGTTTATTTTTAATTTTGTTGTCATGTTTTAGCTCGCTCTTCCACTTATGAAAAAATTCCAAGAACAAAGACTAATTATTTTCTCCTGTTTTGTGGTTAATTTATGAAAACAGGGGAATTGTGAAGATAGATTCGGTAATAAGCAATCGGCTTCATCGCCTCCTTTTTTCTGCGGGTCGCCGCCGAGCAGGGCATCCAACCCTGTAATCCAAGATGAGCATTTCGGTAATAGCGGCAATATGGCTCCATTTTTGCCGGCACAGCCTATGTTGTCATCGCGCAACGGTGGCTGTGTCCGGATGAAGTCTGGGGACAGGCCAGTTGCAGTGCGGATCGAAGGGTTTGATTGTCTTAGCAGGGACCGCAGGAACTGCAGCATCTCTGCTGTAGCTTAGACACAGAGTTAGGGTGTGGAACAGAGCCCTCTCTGTTTTGGAAGAAGCAGAGTTTTGTGAGAAAAGTAGAGGGCTTTGTGCTTTGGGAAAAATATCAAGAGGAGGAGGAAGAAGATTAATGTTTTTTGGGGGGTCTTTGAGATGGAGAGTGTAATTTTTGTATATACAAGTCAAGTGAGTTGATCTTAATATGTTTAATTTATGGTGAGTCTTTTTGTGTAAACTCAAAAGATGTATATGTAAATTAAGAGGAATAAAAGGGAAGAGGAGAGAGAGTGGGAGGCGTAAAGTCTATCTCTCTCTCTCTCTCTATATGTGGATAGAAGTTTGTTTTGGTTTCCTTCATAGAAGTGGCCATCTCTATTAGGAGATGGTTTTATGACATTGGGGGAGGAGGTTTCATGGGACAAGTATGTAATCTTCTACTAAAGACTTTGTTTGGATTCTCATAATCCCTTTGTAATTGTATTTTGGAGGAAATGAGGATTGGATCTATTTGCAATTTGTTGTGTTATTGCACGATTTATGATTGACTTGGAATATTGTCACAATTGAATCTTCAGAATTTTTTTTTTCCGAGAAGTATGTGGATGTGATTGTAGAATTGTGACAAGTCATTCGCACATTGACACATGTTTTAATTTTCTCGAACAATAATTGCAATGGGTTTAGAATATTGTCACATTTGCATCTTTAGAACTTCTTGAGATGTCATTGTGTTGTTATTAAACGTTATAACTTTCTCACACAATAGCGTGCTGATGTAGGGAAATTTTTTTCATAAAAAGCACATGATGTTTTGATCCTACAATCATAAGTATGACGTCTCAAATATCGCAAAATAGAATGTGATACGACAAGAGAGAAAGTTTCAAATAAATTGATGGATCCGTAGTTGAGTAAAACAAGTAACATAATTGAGAATTGGTGGTCTTATGACCACCTATTAATCTAAATTAAGTTGAGATCTTAATCAAATCAGATTTCCAAGTTGTTTTGTAGAAAAAGGAGGATTGGGAAGGTGGGTGGGAGAAAGGTTTGAGGGACAAGTGTGGGGTACTGGGGTTTCTGTCTTTGGAAGCATCGCGGAACATGTGGTAGGATTGGCCTCTTTTGTTTGTTTGTTTTTGTTTGGCCTGCCTGGCTTTGGCTGACTTGGTGTTGGCGTGGAGGATTGCTATTAGGGATTTGCACTTTTGAATGGGCCAACTCCAAAGGGTGACTAGTCAAATCCTTGGGCTCCTAGTTTTGGAAAAGGAATCATTTTCAAATTATTTCCATCAAATTTACCAGGTCAACGAATTCAGATCTTTAAAATTTGATCCAACAACTAAAAACGTGAGTTTTCTTTAAAAGTTATAATAACTTTAGTCATTGGATCAAATTTCAAGGGTTCGAATTTGTTAACTTGGTGAATTTGGTGGAAATGATCCAGAGAGAATCCATTTCCCTAGTTTTGTACACACAGGAGTTTCAGTGGTTGAAATGTCTGGTAGCAAACGCTGGCCTACGCACTTGTGAAGGATAAAATAAATGCAATGCGCCCTAATCACGGATATTAACTTACATAGCACAGTTACATTGTTGCAACTCTTTTTAATTATGAGAGACTATGGTTTGCAATTAGCGTATGTTTTCCCTATATCGGGAGGGGGGGGATATCTACATATATAAAGTGAAAAGGCAAAAAGGTAAAGTTTTTAATCTGATCAGATCGGGTACATTGAAAACCTTCATAAGATAAGATTGTGTACCTAAATATAACCCGTTCATTTGTGGAGGATACATGACTATTTGGATTCTAGATGATTAGGTTGCTTTAAAGGTGTCAAACGGGTCGACCCATCACAACCCGACTCACGTGGGCTTGGTCGGCCATGAACTAGTCAACATATTCTACTTACATAAAATGGTAAGTCCAGGTGCACATCAAAAGTGCACATTTAAGTTACACATTTAAATAAAAGTTGTGGACCAAATTAACCTTTATCAATATCACCAAAATTAGTTGTATTAACGAAGTCATCATTTTTGAAAAAATTTGCTGACTTCGACAGTGAGTGTGAGCGATGTGACATACAATGGTTTTCATGGAACTTCTGCAACCGAAGAAGCGATCAAGTTTGATTGCTCGGAGAATCCAGGTTGTGCCAACATTAATCTGCACCAGATTAAAATCACATCGGCAATTGTTGGGAAGGAGATCCGTGCCTCTTGCAACAACCTAAGTAGCGGAACTTGTAATGCAAGTAATGTTCATGATGTCCCTTGCCTGCATTCATGGGACAAAACGAACATACGTTTGACACGCTATTGAACTTAAACAAATAAACACCAATAATACGCTGCTAAGATATTAAGAACGAGTTCTCAAAAGATCAGATTTTTTTGGCATCACAAGTACACTATTTTTTCGATTTGAAGTGTATTTGTACTGTTTTAAGCAAAAGAAGAACATTGCTCAACTGATCAACTTCTTCAACAGCTTAGGGATCTGATTAAAAATACACAATGAGGGGACACAACACATTGTCATGTTTCCCTGATTAAACTTTGTTTCATTTCTTTTTCGATTTCAATGTTACATTTTGTATATATAATTAAGTTGGGAGACTAATTATATTATTGGTTTTAAATTTTATATCTATGTTGGATTATTGGTATCTTAAGGTGTAATTTTTGTAACATTATTGGTGTTTCATAACCCAAGTCATAAACTACACTGCACAAATCATGACAGAAAAATTTATCAGATAAAAGAAAAAAAATTGTAAATTCATGAAGACATATAAAAATCTCTTAAACCTCTTAAAAGATTGAATTTTGAACCACCAATTTCTTGCAATTAAACACGATTGATTTCGTTCGATGTTTCCCAGCTTGAAGATGCATTTACTGGCTGCAATACATGGCTTTTTAGCAAAAAATAGTCCTTGAGATTGGCATAACTCATCACCTTGGTCTATGAGATTTAAAATCGATAAAATTGGTCTCTGAGTTTGTCCACCGTCAATTATTTTGGTCATTCCAGAAATAACCTCCATTAAATAAGCTGTAAATGACAAAAATACCCTCGATTTTTTGTCAAATTACTTCGGCACATTGTTTATTAAATTGAGGTCATTTTTGTCATTTTTGTCATTGTTAGGGGATTTTTAAGCCAAGCTAGACTTGGGCTTGCAAGTACCCTTTTCATTCCCCTGGTTCGCTTTCGTACCAAATCTCGAAATATCTCGAAAGAATTATAGCGTCTTAGGAAATATTCCGGTTTGATCAATGACTTAAAGATAGCATGATTAAGCAAATAATAACTTGCTTAAGTAAAGTGTGGTGTGGAAGCTAAAAGTTTACCAGTTGGCGTGGAGGATTGCTATCAGGGATTTGCACTTTTGAATGGGCCAACTCCAAAGGGTGACTAGTCAAATCCTTGGGCTCCTAGTTTTGGAAAAGGAATCATTTTCGGATTCTTTCCATCAAATTTACCAGGTCAACGAATCCAGACCTTTAAAATTTGATCCAACAACTAAAAACGTGAGCTTCCTTTAAAAGTTATAATAACTTTAGTCATTGGATCAAATTTCAAGGGTTCGAATTTGTTAACTTGGTGAATTTGGTGGAAATGATCCAGAGAGAATCCATTTCCCTAGTTTTGTACACACATGAGTTTCAGTGGTTGAAATGTATGGTAGCAAACGCTGGCCTACGCACTTGTGAAGGATAAAATTTGTGCAATGCGCCCCTAATCACGGATATTAACTTACATAGCACAGTTACACTGTTGCAACTCTTATTAATTATGAGAGACTATGGTTTGCAATTAGCGTATGTTTTCCATATATAGGGAGGGGGGATATCTACATATATAAAGTGAAAAGGCAAAAAGGGTAAAGTTTTTAATCTGATCAGATCGGGTACATTGAAAACCTTCATAGGATAAGATTGTGTACCTAAATAAAACCCGTTCGTTTGTGGAGAATACATGACTATTTGGATTCTAGATGATTAGGTTGCTTTAAAGGTATCAAACGGGTCGACCCATCACAACTTGACTCACGTGGGCTTGGCCGGCCATGAACTAGTCAACATATTCTACTTACATAAAATGTTAAGTCCAGGTGCACATCAAAAGTGCACATTTAAGTTACACATTTAAATAAAAGTTGTGGACCAAATTAACCTCTATCAATATCACCAAAATTAGTTGTGGACTAGGTCATGGAATAAGGTTAGTAGATTGCTCTTATGCTAATTTCAATAAAATGATTTTTAACTCAAACAAATTAGTTGTATTAACGAAGTCATCATTTTTGAAAAAATTTGCTGACTTCGACAGTGAATGAGCGATGTGACATACAATGGTTTTCATGGAACTTCTGCAACCGAAGAAGCGATCAAGTTTGATTGCTCGGAGAATCTAGGTTGTGCTAACATTAATTTGCACCAGATTAAAATCACATCGGCAATTGCTGGGAAGGAGATCCGTGCCTTTTGCACCAACCTAAGTAGCGGAACTTGTAATGCAAGTAATGTTCCTGATGTCCCTTGCCTGCATTCATGGGACAAAATGAACATGCATTTGACACGCTATTGAACTTAAACAAATAAACACCAATAATACGCTGCTAAGATATTAAGAACGAGTTCTCAAAAGATCATATGCTTTTTTGGCACCACAAGTACACTATTTTTCGATTTGGAGTGTATTTGTACTGTTTTAAGCAAAAGAAGAACATTGCTCAACCGATCAACTTCTTCAACAGCTTAGGGATCTGATTAAAAATACACAATGAGGGGACACAACACATTGTCATGTTCCCTGATTAAACTTTGTTTCATTTCTTTTTCGTTTTGGATTTCAATGATACATTTTGTATATATAATTAAGTTGGGAGACTAATTATATTATTGGTTTTAAATTTTATATCTAAGTTGGATTATTGGTCTCTTAAGGTGTAATTTTTGTAACATTATTGGTGTTTCATAACCCAAGTCATAAACTACACTGCACAAACCATGACATAACAATTTATCAGATAAAAGAAAAAAATTGTAAATTCATGAAGACATGTAAAAATATCTTAAAACCTCTTAAAAGATTGAATTTTGAACCACCAATTTCTTGCAATTAAACACGATTGATTTCGTTCGATGCTTCCCAACTTGAACATGCATTTACTGGGCTGCAGTACATGGCTTTTTAGCCAAAAATAATCATTGAGATTGGTCTAACTCCTCACTTTGGTCCATGATATTTAAAATCGATAGAATTGGTCTCTGAGTTTGTCCACCGTCAATCATTTTGGTCATTTCGGAAATGACCTTCATTAATAAGCTATAAATGACAAAAATACTCTCGATTTTTGTCAAATTACTTTGGCACATTGTTTATTAAATTGAGGGTATTTTTATCTTTTGTCATTGTTAAGGGATTTTTAAGCCGAGCTAGACTTGGGCTTGAAAGTACCCTTTTTATTCCCCTGGTTCGTTTTGGTACCAATTCCCAA